CCCCAAAACCCCAAAACCCCAAAACCCCAAAACCCCATCTAAAACAAAAATTATTGAATTAAGTTAAACTATTTTATTAAATTCAAAATGTTTGGTCCAAACAGCGTTAGGTAAAGTCAAAACACTAAATCTAAAACGTTCTAGAAACCTCTCAATGCTTTCATGTCTCATCCTTCTCTAGAACCTTGCTCAAGCTTAAAACATTGGTAAAACAGAGTGTTGATGACTTAAACTTGGAAGAGGAGAAACGGCCAACCCTCGAGCAAGAATTTTCTAGTAAAATTCCTTCAAAAACAATGACAAATTTTCGAAAGTCAACATTGTAAGTCAAAAGCTTGACTCAATCTCTAGAAAACCCCTTTCTTCCAGCCAAAATGAGGAGAAATATGACTATGCAGGTAGCTCTGATGATCAAGAAGTTTCAGAAAAGGAGTTCTACCTCAAATTCTATAATTTATTGTACGAGGACGACAATTTCAGAGAGTTCAAAGAGGTCCTACAGGAAGAAACCGAACAAATTAACAAAATCCAGTCTGAACAACGTGATCTTAGCAGGCAAATCACACAAGCTCTTGCTGATATCCAAGATTGGAGGGAGAGCCGGAAGAAAGCTCAAAAAGATGCTGAGGAGAACCAGAAGTCTCCTGCAACGGTTTTGCCACAGAATACGACCTCATTAGATACTCTTCTTGCTAAGCTAGATCAGAAATCTGATAAATTTCACACAAAAATTGAAAATTTGATCACTTCACTTCAGAAATCGATGTCAAAATCCAGTACAAAGATGAATGTTCCCAGTGTCAATCCTCAGTCATGTTCTAGCTCTCCCAAAGTACCTGAACTAAACCACGATTCCTTACAGAAGGAGATAGAGCAGCTGAAGAATAAGGAGGAGAACTATGAAGACATCACCGGTAAGTTTTACGTCTAAAATCTTTGTAGACAAAAGTTGCAAAATCAGAGAAGAATACACAGAAATGCTCGATGAACTTGCCCAGATTGAGAGCCAGTTTAAACTAGAACCTCACCAAAAGTACTTTCTATTACCAAACTTTAGAGAAAGCCAGCCTAAGCCAGACACTGATGACCAGGGAGACCTTGACGTGCTTAGTAGGCTACAAGCTTTTTCAACAGTTCTGACTGAGGTTTAGATAACATCCAGAGCGAGTTTGATGAGATGGACCAGATCTTCAAGGACCTTGGAGTCGATTAGACTGACAAATCTATGCTAAACCACTTTCAATCTTCTTGATCACCAAAGGGGTTTTGGGGTTTTGGGGTTTTGGGGTTTTGGGG